GGCATTAATTACGATAGCTGGCAGGCTTCAGTGCCGCTCGTCCGGGGGGACGGGGATACAGATACGGTAAAGTTTCAGCAGCGTCTCTGAGGTGCTTATCAACATTCGAATGCTGAATAAAACATGCGAATTAGTCAGTATTTACATAAATGCTAATGCGGTTATAGTTTTAATTAACATATCGCGCTTGCATAAAATCCATGCGGCCCGAGTCGCCTTGCCTCCATAGGTTTTTTTTTTCCATTTCTCATTTTCCTGGGGAAATAAAATGACTGAAACATTACACGGATAAAATGCCCGAAAATGGGGAGAACGTGAGACGGTGACACTGTTTGCGCAGCTCTGCAGAATGTAAATATCAGTCTTGGGCACAACAACGAAAACGACGCAGCTGAAACGCAGTGAACAGAAAGATCACAGCGTAACGGTGTAGTGTGATGAGCCTTTGACAAAAAAGCGAGAAATTATGAGAGCGACAGTGATTATGATTCGTTGATTATGTTTTGGTACCAATCATCCCTCGCCGGCAGTGCAATCGGATCTCAGACCTTTTTCAGTACAGTCGTGGTTCAGACAGAGGTAACCTCCTCCCTTCTCTGCCATTCTGGAGAAATGCGGCCCAGCCACCACTGAGGATGTCAAAATCCGTAAACAGACAACCAGCCGTCATTCTGAGAACACCAAAAAATCTGGATCATTACTGTTAGGTCCAATGATTAAATACCTAAATACATGAAGTCATTGGAAGTCAGGTGACAAACCTGTAGTCTGTCTATCTAACTGTCCATCCTGTTTTATGCACCGCTCTGCCAGTATCCGCCTACCCCTCTAAAGACTAAGAGTCTTTCATGAACTATTTATAATACAGGTCATGTGCTCCCTCTAGTGGAGAAGAAAAGTCAAATAAAATTTAAAAAAAAAACTTGATCTGGTGACAGTCAAAACACAAGGAACCTTTTAAGGGTTTTTGATAGACAGCGAACATAGTACATGACACACAAAACGAGTGAAAAGTGTTCAGTTCGGCTTCATCTGGGCGTATTGTTGGATAGAAAATGTTGCTGCTCATCCAATTTCTCTCTCTTAGTTCTAGAATAAAGCGACCATACTGGACACACCCTCAGGTGATCGGGCCTTTTAGTATATATCAAAGCTTTGTCATCATCAGCGTGCCCCAGCCCGGTCTCCTGTATCTTCCGTCTCGCCATAACCTTCTACTGGATTGGAGGTTAAGGAATTTTATGACCCAGTAATTCAAAATATCTCTACGGGAGGGTGCTGCCATCTCGTGGTCAATTATAGATCCTACAACCAACAACGGGTTTTGGCCTGAAAGGCAGTTATCCCGTCAGTGTTAATCTGTTTTGTTACGTCTATATTTTCTATTAATAAACAATACGCGTTATTATGTATAGTCACAGGATTGAATATGATTCTAGAATTGCAGGTTTTCTCCAGGATAAGTAATTTCAAATGTCACTTTTAAGTAGCAGCAAATTAAAACCAAGAAATGCAATTTCCCTATTACTGCCGGTTTTACTCAGCTCTTACAAGGCATGCATACAGGTTGAACAAAAGGTAGACGAAACAACAAGAATTACTTGATTTAAACGTTGGTTCTGATTTTGTTAACAAAACAGAAACACTGACCAAAATGTAGCTACTTATACGCTGTTACGTGTGCTAAAATAGTTGCTCCTGCCTTAATGGACAGGCATTCAACTGCATAAAGGGGTCCTTAAGACCAATGTCAAATCTTGCCCTCTTCAGTCAGCATACCATCACTGTTTGGAGATCCCTTTTCCACGCGAGACGTGTCACTCCAGACGTTTCTCTTGTGTGGAATGAGCTTCTGAACCACATCTGGTCATCAGATTCCCTCTATACATTAGAGAGGCCTCAAGACTCGTCTGGTCTTAACTGTGCATGTATCTGCTGTATGTATGAGAGCCATCAACAAGCAGAGATAAATCCCCTGTGTGTGTGAACATACTTTGCCAGGGAACGTCAACCAATCTGTATACAGACAAACATGTTCACAGCAAAACTCGTTTCTGTCCGTGGCAAAATGGCTTAACTAGGAAACAAAAAATAATGGCTACGTTTTTAAATACCAGGTAGGTGGTATTATGGTATTCACAGGTAGAGTGGTGGCTCTGAGGCTGAAAATCTGTGCCAGTAACTGGAAGGTTGCTGGTTCAAATCCTGTGAATGCCCAGAGCGATTCTACTCTGTTGGGCCCTTGAGCAAGGCCCTTAACCTGCAATTGCTTCATCCTGGGTATGACATTAATCTACATCCAGCCCTATAAGGAGGTCCTCCATCTTACAGGGAATATCTTGGGGGTTGGTGGCAGGACTGGCACTCCAGCCACTGGAAACAACTCACACTGGTCCATTTGGGCTAGTTTGGTGCTGAGGAATCACCTGCTACATGGCTGCACTCAGGTTCTCATCCCTGAGGTGGTTTGTTGTGTGGTGGGTGTGGCAACGCGCTGTAATCGGTTCATGATCCTTACCTCCTATACGTGGTTAAAACAAAAATGCCTTTTGATAAAAAAAATCTCCGTCAGAATTAGAAATAACTCAGAAATAAACACCAGTCATTGTTCCCTGAATGATCTTAATACTGCACTTGCTGCTGATTTGAATAGTGGACCTTGCATGCTTTGTTTAGCAGTGGTGTAGCTTCTGCTCCAGTACTGCTTACACTTGTACCCGGGTATTCATCGGATGCTCAGCACGTATTATTGTCTTATTTGCGTCACTTGTACGTCGCTTTGCACAAAATCATCTACTAAATACGTGTACATGTGCTGCGGGGTATTTTTCCCGGCTGAGGAGGTATTCGGAAGTGACTCGTTAGCGGAGAGTCACGCATGCGCGGTAAGTGTTACAACTGCTGAACAGGATGGGTCTCTGCTGAAGACGTGCAAGTTTATTTTTGTCTTTGTGACCCCGGGATCAGGGCGTGGATCTCACAGCAGAGGCTGTCACCCAGTGGCACCGGAGATGCAACATTCACAACCACGACATTCGCGACTTCTCCGGAAAGTTCCGGCTAAATAACGGTCATGTGACCGGTGCTCTGTGCTGTTGCTGATCATCAAGGATGTTCAGAAATGTAATATGGTGCTTTAGAAATACATTGTCTCGCTTAACTTCTGCCTAAATTACTTAGCTCATACTTCCTGGTAGCATATTGCTTTAGATAAAAGCACATTAAAATCATAATTTCGTATGCATGGCAATTCATATGCAGAAGTTTTGACCACATTATAGCAATGAAACATTTTGTTTCTAGGAGACAAAGATTAATCTTTGTTTAGTCCCTTCAGAAAAAGTGAATTATTTTAACAGGTTTTCTACATTCCTGTGCTGGACCGGCATCCTGTCCAGCGTGTCCCCTACCTTATGTCCTGAATTTCCTGAGACTATCTCAAGAATCACTGTGACCTTGGGCTGGATTATTAACGATAGATGGAAGCTCTCTGCAGCCCAAAGAAAGGAATCTCAGACCGTGCGGCGGAAAGATAAATGCTTTCGCTCCGCCCCATCCATCATCCATAACCATTTAGCCAGGGAGGGTTGTGGTGAGTCTGGCGCCTATATCCCTGGAAGCGCAGGGGATGCCCTGGACAGACTGTCGCATCACAGGACACGTGTGTAGATTATAGCTGTATCCAGGTCCCTGTTACCTGTGGGGGGAGGGAATGACCCCCATCAAATACGCGAAAAGCACGGTAAAGTGTCTATGTGATACTCTATCTCCTTTTTTTCCACCTACGCTCACCCGTATTCTAATGCAGTCTTCGGAGCACAGTTCTGTGAGATTTATTTTGGAAGCACATTAAAATGGCGAAAAGTCTCCTATGGTTTTATGCCAGATTAATAAAACTTATTCAAAAAAGCCTTATAATTACCTAATGTCTTCGCTTTGTAGCCAGTGCCAAATCGATTCACAAAGCACTGTTGTGAGACCATGAAATTGAATCGTCTTAAATCCGAGAGCATGTATGTGTGTGTCTATATATATATATATATATATATATATATATATATATAT